TCGAATAATATGTGCTGAATGCAATTTGCACGACACAATTTCCACTGTTATTGAGTATTCAGTTGGAGGACACAGCAGATTACAACAAACTAGTGTACTTCACTGGCCTGTACAGCATCACTCATTGAATTGCTCTTTAAAATGGCGAAACTGCACGTTTGGACACAGTATATGCCCGTTTAACACTCACTCCATCATTTGATTGTTATTAGATGAATTACTGCTGCCACAATCGATATAAAACATACACAAGCGTCTCATTTCTTCAAAAGCTGCGCAAATGAATTCACCCTTTTGTCTTTCTGTTTGGCTTCCAGAAAGGTGGTGTTGCGGCATCGCTGTTTCCTAACGTCTAGCAAATTGAAGCAAGCAGACAGCCGCTGTCGCTTACAAGCACACAGTTATGATGGACTGCCAGGCACAGAGCGATCGCTCTCAATCAGTGAGAGCAACTCCACACCTCAGTCACTGCGGCTAAATCTAAATCCCGTCTGCCATCTCAGCCCTTCAGAGAGACAGATTCATGTGGGTTGACATGGGACTGTCGGTCACATGTAAACCATTGCACATATAAATCATTGTTAAAGGGGTCATATGATGCGATTTCAATTTGTCCTTTCTCTTTGGAGTGTTACAAGCTCTTGGTGCATAAAGAAGATCTGTAAAGTTGCAAAGACTAAAGTCTCAAATCCAAAGAGATATTCTTTATAAAAGTTAAGAGTCAACCACGCCTACCTAAAATGGCTTGTTCTAATACGCCCCCACATGTCTATGTCACGATGTGAGAAGATTTGCAAAACGCCGCACAAATGTTCACGCAAAGAAAGAAGGCGTAACTTTTATTCTCGCTATAGTGTTGGATACAGTGTGTTGTGCGGTTTGTTTTATTCATTAACATGTTGGAAAGTGCTTTGGGAGAGAGTTAACCCAATGGAAATGTGCTAATCAGAGCCTCCTGTTCAATTAGCAACGTTCGTGAAACATAATGTAATCAAAATATCTTTTTCTGATTGCTGTCGCTTAACAAAATTACACACGTAGTGCTTCTCTGCATCGCTTGTCCTGTTTGAGTTTTCATTGTCTGGATAGAGACGTTTATTAACATTAGCTCCAATTAAAATGCTTTTCTGCGTAGTGCCAGTGTAGTGTATTTTGTAATTGTTTTGCATATCCAGCTTTTTAGATAATCACATTCATATCAGGCTGTTCTAGGGACTTTCCCACTCACTTTTTAAAAACAATTCTTCAATGAACAGTTTTAAGCTATGAAACGTACTAGCCAGTTCCCAAATGAATCACAACATTACAACATTTGACTCAAAGCTAAAAAGTATTTGAAAACTGGAAAATAGGGAAGTGTATAACTGTGTACATAACGTCTTGAGGGAATGAACTAGTCCTATGTCCATTTACATTTTGGCATCAAAACAGGAAAAAAATAAAATAAACAAAAAAAACCTCATGTTTCATGTTTTGTTTTATGAGCCTGTTGTTTATGCATGTTCACACACGTCTCGGTTACGTATGGTAACCCTCGTTCCCTGAAGGAGGGAACGGAGACGTCACGTCGGATGACCGACGAATTGGAATTGGGATCTCGCTTAGAGAGACCAATCTACTTCGAATGTAAACTAAACGAGCCAATGCACATTGGCATGCGATTATTGCATCCAGCTGCCGCTGATCACAGCGTGAGTATAAGTAGGCAGCAGATGCAGCGCATATTCAGGTTTTCGCTGAGGAGCCGAGCCGGTGACCCGGCCGCTCAGCAGTGGTACAGGAGCTGTGGCGACGGGACGTGACGTCTCCGTTACCTCCTTCAGGGAACGAGGGTACATACGTAACCGAGACGTTCTTTCTTCAAGTTTCCCTCCGTCTGACAGTTGCTTTCCTTCACTCAATTTTTTTCTGGTCTTCCTGAATGATACATTAGATGAGCAAAAATGATAATTTATTCATGCATCTATCTGTCATACACTAGACATTGTTTGAGTTACATTAACATATCAGTCTCTAAAAGAGGTGGTGGGGGCGGAGCTTGTGCTCAATCCTGGATATAAACAAGTTTACTAAAGAGAATCAACAAACAGATGTTTAAATTATAAAGGACAGCCATTCTGAATAAAGCCCCGTTCACACTAGCTAAAATCAGTTTCTCTTTGGGGAAAATTATTATTATTATTATTATTATTATGGTAACACTTTACAATAAGGATTATTAGTTAACTACTTTAGTTAACATGAACTAAGAATGAACAATCCTTCTACAACATTTATTAATCTTAGTTAATGTTAAATTATTAAAATCAAAAGTTGTGCTTTTAACATTAGTTAATGCACTGTGAATGAACAAACTAACAATGAATGACTGCATTTTCATTAACTAACATTAACAAAGATTAATACATACTGTAATAAATGTATTGTTCACTGTTTGTTCATGTTAGTTTATACATTAACTAACATTAACTAATGGAACCTTATTGTAATGTGTTACCATTATTATTTCCAGGGAAAGACTTTCATATTGTGCTGCTTGATTAAAAAGGTAAAAATATTTTTTTCATTATTATTTCAGATATTTTTTCCCTTGTGAAAAAGAAGTGTGCTTGTATTGAATGTTCACTCGTAGTGTACTTTAAATCTTAAAGGGATAGTCATGGTATTTTCGTGAATGTGTGTCGAAGACTGGCACGGAAGAGAAGAAATTGTTGAGTAAAGCATTTCTTAACCCACTTAAGTACACTTAATTCTTTGTCATGCAAAGTCCAGTTATTTTGATGTGTTTACTAACGTACAAAAACACATGCTAAGTGCTATTAGAATTTCAACTGTAGTGTGTCATTCAATATTACACTTAAAGTTAATATATTGTTTTAAATGTATCAAATTTCAACCCTAATTACAAATGTGTAATTATATAATTAAATATGTAATATATATTTTTAAATATGTGACCAACAAATTTTAAAGACAATTGAAGTAATTATAAAATTACATACAGGTATAAAGATATTGTCACAAAGCAAGGCCAGACACAACAGGTAAGTGCAAAACAGGATGGTTTGATGAATCCCTGACATTACCCCCCCCACCTCCAGGGGTGGCTCCTGACGCCCTCGAGCGGCAGCGGGGGCGGCCACGGCTTCTGCATAAGCCCTACTTAAGTGGGGAAAAAATCACTTTTTAAGAACGAATTGCTTTTAATTTAAATTTAAATTATAATACATTTTCATTTTGCTTTATAAATTATATACAACTACATCTCCAAAAACATTAAATTCAGTTCGCACTTAAGTATGTTCTTTTAAAGTATATTATTTCCATAACAATATATATTTTTTTTTTTTCATGAGGTTTCTACTATTATGCTTTAGCATTTTCGTTTCAAGTGATCGACTGGGCAGCAAACAACAATTTATTTGTGTGCCTCCCTCTTCAAAAGGCTAGCTAACATGTTGGCTTGTCGCCAGATGGCGGTCTCGTCAAAAATTAGGTCAGTGTCCCTTTTGTCACTGTTTGTGTTTCTCAGGCGTAGAGAATGGCCCTGAGGGCTGCACATAAAGTTATTGGATACCCCACACTTACACTCACAAAATGGGCTAAGCCTTAATTACAGCTTTTAGGAAAACAAAGTAGTAGCATTAAATCGCAGGGATTCTTTAATAGATTGGCAATTTCATGGAGAGCTAGTCATTGGGGTATTACATCCAATTTGCCAAAGTGCTGCTTGATTAGAAGGTATAGCCACCTGAATCAATACCAAAGGATGATCTGAGACCTATGAGTTATTCTATACCATATTCTTCCTGTCTGTGTTCCTCTGCTCACTATTTTTCCCTTTCATGTCTTTGAATCCATTTGCTGTTTTCCATTTCTCTTTAAAACATGCATATCTATTCAGTCCTGTCCTCTACTTAATAACACCCCCTAAATCCAATGTATAAACAGTATCCCATAATCCCCTATGATCAAGAGTGTCAGCAAGACATTCGCTCTGTTCCTAAACCTAGTGAGCTGCCTATATAAGCAGAATTTTAAGGCATTGTATGCATGTACTTGATTTTCTTATAAAAAATAATGCACCCAATGTACCAAAACTCTTAGTACATGTCTCAAATCACGTCATTATTTCATAGTACTAGCAAAGGTTGTTACCGAACAAACGCCTTATCGCCCATGAAACAATGCCTTAAAAACACTAATAACAGAAAACATTATACAATGTTCTCTTTTGTAATTATATTTATATATATAACAATAATGATAACTCTGTACTGGCCAGAATTCAGTGCAGTATTACATGGTCCATTTTTACATTAGAGTACAAAATTATTCCCAAGTCCCCTTTTGTATAGATATGAATGAAATTGAACGACTAATATCGGTGTAGGTGTTACACAGTTGTTTTACTAATTATTTTGAGAGTTTCAGTTTTTAGCAGTGGAATTTATTTCAGTATGGTATTACTGTAAAGATGTAGCAAATTGCAGTCTTGTTCGGTTTTGTATTATGTTAGGTTTTGAAAAAGTATGTAAACGTGCATATTGGCCTCAAGGTACATATAGTTTTGGCGGTAGTTGTGTCTGAGTGAGAAAATAATTAATGTATTTTGTGCCAAACCAATGAAAAATGACCTACAGTTTAGCCCACATAGACTGTTGTGCTAACTGCACTTTTAAAAGTTTTTGAAGTTGTAAATAAAACACAGATCATTGAAGTATGATATGGTACTTCTGTCTTTCTATCAGTCCTTCTACTTCAAAATTGCATGTTTAACTCAATGTGTTACTTGCTATTTCTTTGTATTTATTTGTGAAATTGTTTCTACACCAAATTAGTTTTGAAAAAGTGACCTAAGTTTAGAGAAATGGGTTCTAGCAATTGTAAGAACAGAACTGTCGTTCCCATTTAATGTCAGTATCATTCCACTGTTCTTTTCTAGCGCTAAATGGCTCTTATTTAATTCAGTGGCACTCTGACTATGCCCTCCCTTTCAGGCCAGATCCGTTACGAGCCTGCCCTGCCAGCTGAGCGCCAGCGCCTCACCCAGTTCCTGCCCATCGGCCACATGACAAAGTTTATCGTCACTTACCCCACTGTGAGTAACACGCATAACCCATCCACTTACCCACAGCCGGTTTACCGGCTTTCCCAGCACAGTGCAGTCACTTCCCCTACAGCTCTTATTGCATTTAACTCTGTAATGAAGTTAAAATGTGCAGAGACATGGAGAGCTGCCTCCTAGTGCTCTGTCTAGCTTATTCCTTATAAGCCCTCACTTTAAGTTAATGTCTTGGCTCTGCAGTGACTGGAGATGCCACCTTAAGCAGAGGATAAGATTTGTTAATAAGATTAAATAAGATAATGGGTTTCATTCACTCACTACTTGTGCATAAAATGTTAAAAGTAATGATAAGTTCACACTATTTCTTTTCTAAATTTTGATTAGGACCAACTAAAACAGACACAAAAATCACTCCCAGAGTTGCCTCTGAAATGCCTCCTAGTGCTCTGTCTAGCATATTCCTTATAAGCCCTCACTTTAAGTTAATGTCTTGGCTCTGCAGTGACTGGAGATGCCACCTTAAGCAGAGGATAAGATTTGTCTGTCAACTGTGAAAGATGTTTTTGAATATATTTTGCATATTAAATAAGATAATGGGTTTCATTCACTCACTACTTGTGCATAAAATGTTAAAAGTAATGATAAGTTCACACTATTTCTTTTCTAAATTTTGATTAGGACCAACTAAAACAGACACAAAAATCACTCCCAGAGTTGCCTCTGAAACTTAGATTGCATTAATGTAAAATGTTTGTTATTATTATAAATTTAATAACCAAGTGACTCTATACAGTAAGTTTTATTTCAGTGTAACAAATAATCGATCAGCCCTATTGTAAATGTTTTGCGTCAGAACCTTTTCTGTGCATCGCATTTGTACTTAATTGTTAGTCCATGAATCCCTGCCTGAGTGCTTAAAAATGTGTTTTAATCTTTTATTATTATCTTTTATTATTATTATTGCATATATTCATTAATTATGTATAACACATTTATGAATTTTGAACTTTCTAATACATCACTTAGTTATTTAATGAAATAGGCTTTATGGAAGAAACAGCATGCACTTATTTTTTCGGGAAAAACAAAACGCTTTTTAACAACAAATTAGTTCTTAATATGCATTAAGAGTGTTAGATATTTTAGTCTAATAGAACAGTTTTACTTAAAGATGAATATTCTGTCATCATATATTTAACCCTCATATCATTCCAAACCTGTATGTTTGACATAAATCACTATCTGTGGAGTCACGTTGCTCCTTGGTTTGAAAGGGCATGACGTTTGATTGATAATAACTATGCAGATATTGTATATAACTGCTCATATATCTACAATTTAATGTTCACATTTATGCAAATATGATTGACATTAATGCAGATAATGTCAGTTTTCAGCATTGCGCTGGTCTCTTTTAATAAAGAAAGAATGCTTTTTAATTTTTAAGGCTGTTTATTCTCTGTTTTTTTTATCTGACTTCACAGGCATTTTGGAAGGAAAGAGGTTTCTCAGGGGAAATCGTGGCACGTCCCTCTGAGGACTGTCCTTTAAGCGTCACATTTGATGCCACCAGCCCCAGAGGCAGTCCTGCGCTAGTGGGGTTCATCACTGGAGTACAGGCCCATGACTGGTGTGACAGAAAGGTGAGAGACAGATACACAGAATGAGTCTGGGAAAGAAAGTGATGTATTTTTATAACATATAGCAAGCTGTACTGGAGTGAGAAATGGAAAGAGGGAGTGAGAGATACAGAGAAGGAAGTTTAATAATAATAATAAATGCCAGGTCTATTCTCAGTTTCACACTTTCAGGGAATACTGAGACAATGAGTCAAGAGGTGAAAATAGATATATATTGACATTTAGTTGCTCAAAAACTGCCTTTGAAAAGCATAACAGGCAAGGGCTGGGCGATACAATGATAACGATAATTATTGTGATATAATTTTCCTAGATAAAAAGATAACAAGACAGTGCATTTATAATAAAATGTATGTAGAGTACTGTTTTCATAGAAATGCCTAGAAACCGTTACATTTTTACCATGGCATTGAGGTGCTATATGTGTGGTTTTAACTGGTTATCATGATCTAAACGTATATGCTACTATGGAAGAACAATGATTAATTTTAATAAAACTTAAACAGTCCGAATAATTACATTTCACCATATAAAAATGAGGTTGTTACAGTTTTTTGATAATGAACATACGTTTACATCTGCATCTGTCAGCACAAGCTACTGTGAAATGTGAACTTCTAAGAGACAAAAAGATGTAATATTATTAATATTGCAGCCTGCACTGCAAACTGTGCCGAAGATGTGCATCATCAGAGAAACTAAGAAATTATTACTATTAAGATATTATTAAGATACTATTACTATTACTATTAAAATACTTATTTTGTTAAGGAAAGGAGCAAAAATCAGCCTTTTAACTTGAAAGATAAAGATTTGAAATTTATTGTGAGAATTATTGATATCAACTGACATGAAAAATGTTAGCGTGATCATTGTTTTGGGCCATATCGCTCAGCCCTATAACAGTCATGCACAATAACCTGCTGAAAAGACCAGCAGAGCTGCTCACAACCTTGTTGTGTTTTGGAATATCATGTGCTGGTTTTCTTCATCTAGCCTAACTTGAGGTGGACTATAATATGTGGAGACAACTGTTAGCATTCCCATTTCAAAGTTTATTTCACGCTTTTAAGAGCCTTCAAAAACACGTATTATAATAAATGAGAGGTTAGGCATTTAATAATAATATTATTTGCAAAAAAATTATGTAATATTATCATTTTCCTGTCAGACTGCACAACTACTGTACATTTGAAAGGTTTTTTGACCCCAATTACAGCATCTAGGGACTAACTGCTAACCATGCTACCAAACAAAACTGTTACTGTTAGTTATTAAAAAATACTTTCGATAATTATTAGCTAATTGTAATGTTATGTATACATGTTTTCTCTGTATCATAATTGAAAATAAAACTATATTAAAAAATACTTTCGGTAGATTAAATAAAGCTTAAATAAAATATAAATATTAGACCACAGATTTCAATTTTTTTTTTTTAAATTGAAATGTTGGCTTGCATGGCAACGAACTGAATTAAGTTTTAAGTTGAAATACTAAAATTAGGGATGGGCATTTTTCCAAAAATATTACATTGAGCTAATAAAAAATTAATATTTGGATATTTCGTTGTTTGGATTTCATATGATTCTTATGGAGATAACTTAGTTTCACTTGACAAAGGTTGCACAAGATATACTGATCAAAGTAATTAAAGTTTTATTTTTGGCGTTTTTGCCTTTCTTTTATGGATAGTATAGTAGTGAGACAGGAAGTGAAGTGGGAAAGAAAGGGGGGATGGGATCGGGAAAGGTCCGCGAGCCGGGACTCAAACACGGGATGCCCGAAGCAAAGTGGCGCTACATGTCAACGCGCTGCCCACGAGGCTATTGGTGACGACATGTTGATCAAAGTAATTCCAAACTTTGCTGTACCTAGAGGCAGACAATGCCATTCTGTCATCAAATACAGTCAATTTCTTTACATGTTCCACATCCCAGCCAGTGCATTTAGTTTTAAGTGTGAGTTTTAGTTTGCATGCTCAGGAGTTATCAGGGATTCACTACATTTATGGCCAGCAAAGCAACATTTTAGTGAAATTCAAATAGTGTTTTTATTATTCAAATAATTACTGCAGATCGAATATTTGAATATTTTACTATCCATGCACACCCCTAACTAAAATTACTACAACTGAAATTAAAATAAAGCTATTTTCACTATATATAAATATTTAAACAAAAACTAATGAAAATGACAAAAGCATGTAACAAAATTACTAAAACTTAAACTAAATGTAACTAAATGAAAACTGAAAATACAAAAGCTAATTCAAAATATTAAGTCTGTAACAGTATAAATAATACTTGCATGGTAGTCTAAGCTAGTCTTCCGGCAACCAAATAGTCTGTAAACAAGCAATATCAGACTAGGGATTAGCCAAATGTCTTTGGTACGGCAAGTGTTATCTTGGGAAAACAAATATTTCCAGCTCTGAGTCTTCAAAGAGACTTTTCCTGACTGATAATGTGGCAGACTATTGATTTATCTGTCACTCGTCGCTCAATCAAACAAAGATGGCCACACAACTTGCATGCAGAAAAAAGCTAGCCTAAAGCTAAAATCCATGAAAACCAGATGAGACCAGAATTCCCTCTTTGAGATGAACTGGTCTGATAAACACATTTCCATCTCGCTTCTTATGATAAAACTCTCTGACCGTCTGTAGTCATGCATAATAGACAAGAGCAGTTCTTCTAAACCACTGAGTTTATGGTTGCTTCATTCATATTGAATCAGATGGACAAGCCAGTCTGGTTCTCATTTGCTAATACAACATTACTAGTTTGCATCTGGTAGTATTTTATGTTGAAATACCCATTTATCGCCTGCATTAATTGAGATATATCCGTAAAACGAAGAGTCATGTACTCTGCAAAGCATTTGTCGACAAGCTGTGGTTCTTACAGATGTGTGAAGAGCCCAGACTGACAGCGCAATACACCCGAGCTGTGTGCTTTCTGCTGTTACTCGACATTACCTTCACATGAATGAGCTGGCAAAGTTTGAAGTGTGGACATGAAGTGTAATTTTGTGCAGTTTGTTTTATGGCTAGGCATTAGAGATAGTGGCTAGCCCTCCAACTCCTTATGGAGCACTTTTATAAACCCCTCCCGCAGATGGTTCCTCTGCCGCCCAGCCCCATACCTGGTTCGAAGCAATAACTGTAGGCTGAATTATGGCCTGGGACACTCGGTTCAAGTAGAAGTGTGCGCAACATGCAGATGCAGGGTTTTATACGTTCCCTTAACATCTGTCACTCACTGGCATAGTAACGGCAAGGGTGCACAGCCCGGCCCCTTTCTACCCATAAATCATGGAGAACAGAGACCAAAAAGGAAATTGAGTTATTCCAATCGATGGAGGTTGGAGAACCAGACCCAGCCCGGATCTCGCCCTTGTGAAAGAGAAGTACAGTTTAGCATAAGTTGAAAAGGAATACTTAAGTAGATTATATACTTTAGAAGAGTATAAGTAATGTTTTTGGAGAAGTTATTTGCAATTAATTATTTGCAATTAATTGAAAATGTATTATAGTTTAAATTTGTATTTCTAAATTTATGAATGTACTTATTTTTTTTTACCCTTTTAATTAAGACATAAGTACATCTTTATATGTAAGCAATAAGGTACAAGAGGCCCGTTTCGCGTCATGCTTAAAAACACCCTTCAGCCATGACTTATTCACAACACAGCACGCCACGAGTACCTTATTGCTTTTATAAAAGTTACCACACAATAAAAATATTAAAACCAAAAATGTATAGATTGATGTTACTTTTTTGAAGTTTGTTCGTTAAATGCTGTCCTCTGCTGAACAATAGTTTGTGTCAGCTACAGTAAACGGCAAAGAAATGTTCCGAGGTGACATGCCTCATCTTATGGAGTTCAAATAAAAACAGAGAAAAGGAACTGTTCAGTCTTCCATCTTTTAGTTTAAAACAGACCGATTCGCGTTTGCAATTGACAATTGAATGATGCAACATAAGGCCATCAGGGGTCACTCATACTTCATTAAATAAATACCATACAGTTAATTGTGCTGAAATACATAATACATGGAACAGTTTTGACGCTATATTATTGATTGTTTATGTTGGGTGGTGGCCAGTGGTGTATAAAGTACCTGAAAGCCATACTCAAGTAATCAGGGGTCACTCATACTTCATTAAATAAATAACATACAGTTAATTGTGCTGAAATACATAATACATGGAACAGTTTTGACTCTATATTATTGATTGTTTATGTTGGGTGGTGGCCAGTGGTGTATAAAGTACCTGAAAGCCATACTCAAGTAAAAGTACAGATATTTTACCAGAAAATGACTTTGGCAGAAGTTGAGGTCACCGTTTAGAATATTACTTGAGTAAAAGTCTTAAAGTATGTGATATTTATTTTACTTAAGTACGAAAAGTATTTTTTAAATCTTAAACGTACTTAAGTATTGAAAGTAAAAGTACAAGTAAATGCAAAATGGAAAAGAAGCAAATCAATATATATAAAAAATGTTCATACACAGCTTGAGTAGCAAGATTGTGTTCAGTTTTAACTCTTTCTTCCATTTTGTATTTTTGGGTAAGAATAAGAAGCACTTCATCCAGTACTTAGTGTCTTTTATTCCAACATAAGAAAACATTTCTGGAATCTGCATCTGAAATAGCATTTAGATGTATTTACACAGTTTATGTATCTCAGAGGGGACATGGATGCATTTAAACTGCAGTTACAGATGCATAAATAGGCCTAATGTTTTGTTTTTAACATAAAACGTTGAATAATGATATTTGAAATAATTTAAAACATGAAAAAACAAATGTTTTTGTGCTCATTTTAGATGGAGGAGAGAAGAGATGCTGTGATCTCCAGCCTGGTGAAGTACCTTGGTCTGGAGGCATCCACCTACATTCACTACGAAGAAAAGGTATGTGGCGAATTTCAGCCAATATGTGCGCTGAGTCACAGAAAGTATAGTCATTGTCTTGCGAAACTCTTTGCTTCAGCTTTATTTAGTAGCAGCTAGGAGCACCTGGAGTGTACGGGAAAACAGTGCTGAGGGAAATCAAAAAATTATGCAGAAAAATATTTTATGGTGGCTTGCGTTGTTACACACAGCAGAAAAATGTGGAAAATAGACTCAGGAAGACACTAGCTTTTTTATTTTAGGTCATTTTGGGGACACCACTGAGTCTGTGGAGGTTTGTCTCTGCAACTGTCTGACTAAATGATGCTAATGTTTGATTGTGAAGAAACTGTGGTTATTTTATTTTTAAGTCATTTCAAGAAAAATATGCCGTTTTAATAAATGGTAATTGATTCTTAGCTAACCTCCATCCACTTTGGTCATTTTTGCTAACTAATATAACTCAGACTGCAGAACAACCCATAGAAATTAGCTGGAAATGTATGTCAACAGTGTGATTTTCAGTCAAATGTGCTAATAAATTGGTAAAAATGAATTAGATATTATTCTTAAGTGGTCCGGAATGAATTGTAACATTGCAAATAATTCTAAATTCTGCTTTTGTTTAAATAAATTGTTAAATTATGCAGTAAAAACTGTAGAGATATGGCAGACGGCAACAGTTGCTAAGGTAGGACTGACCAGTAACTTTTAAGGTGGGGCTCAAAGGATTTTTAACAGATTTTAATTTGAATAAACTCAATTCAACAACAAATTATCCCAACTGTATTGCAAATGTATTCATGGAATACAATTTCATTTAGATGGCAAAACGAGTTTTTTATGCATTTATGAATTGAACCTCAGGCAATGTCAACAGCATGACCCAATTTATGGGTGGTTTCCATTTTTGGAAATGATATTACAAATGGCATTCAGACAGAGCTACAGAAACGTTTCATATGCAGTTTGTAAAAATTAGGCTGCTAAGTGTAGGTATTTTTTAAGACTCCCGCAACCCTTCATTTTGATGTCCTCCGGGGGGTGCAGTGTTTAATTGTTTAATTTACTATGGAAGCATATAGGTAGCGAAGGTATTTAAATGTACATTTTCCATTACCCATACGTGCAAAGTTTGGTGCAAAAGTAAAATGAAAATTAAATTATATAATTTACATTTGCCATTTCCAACAGTAGTCTTAATATGTAAATTGCATGCAAATTTGAACGCTTTATAAGTTGCGAAATGAAAATGAAAATGTATAACACAAATTGATTTGATATGTGTAACATGTTCAAGCAGAAATGGTAGCATAATGATCATTTAAATGCTATTTGTCCTAAATGCATTTAGACTAACAGTTAGAACACTTAGGATTGCATTTCATTTCACAACTTATAAAGCGCTCAAATTTGCATGCAATTTACATATTAAGACTACAGTTGGAAATGGCAAATGTAAATTATATAATTTAATTTTCATTTTCCTTTTGCAACAAACTTTGCACGTATGGGTAATGGAAAATGTAAATTTAAATACAGAAATACATTGCCATTTTGAATATTGCATTGCCATTTTGCATATTGCATTTTAAATTGAATTTTGCTACCTATATGCTTCCATAATTTACACCCTAACCGGTATGATGACATTTTATTTTAACTCAGTTCTACCAGTAATTGATACATGTCGGCCCGGACAAGTGGTTTGGAAAATGGATGGATGAAAGAGTGGCAGTGAAAACATCTTTTAGTCTTGAATGGATCCAAATGTCAAAGCTCTCAGTTTGCAGTTCCTGTTCCGACTGAATGAGTCAGCATGTGAAAATAACACACATTGTCTAGAATCAGGCATGAAACCTATTAAGACCTGCTAGAGTTCATCACCTCTGTCCAGTCTCCTGTATGACTCTGACAAGCCTCCGTCTGACACTCACCACGGGCATCAACTGAAATGGAAATCTCTGCGGCCACCTCTATTCCTCATTGATCAAAGCTAAGAACCAGTCCTCCACTGTGCCTGAAATGCACCATTTCACAAAATAAATGGGAATTTATTTCCCCTGAGAGGTAAAATGGTGCCATAGACCAAACAGGAGGCGTAATTTAGATTGACAAACGGGCACATTGGTTTGACAGCAATCAGCTTCAACAGTATGTTAACATTTTACCACCTTGGTGTGAAAGGGGTGTCAGGCCACTTTAGCACTATAAGTGAAAAGGGAGAATAGCCTTAAGCAACTCTGTGACCTGTGGATGGAGAGAGCGGGAGAGGATGATGGGACTACTGATGACAAGGCCATTTTCCAATGAGCTGCAACTGAGAAAGGAAATACACTACCTGTACCTTTTCAAGTAAAGAATTACCCAGAGTGCCATGAGAGGTCTCATGCACTGGGCTTATGGCGCATTGTGGAAAGCAAAAGTACATCAACTCTAAAATATCCATGGTGTTTAATGCATATAGTGTGAAGAAGCTGAAGCACATTATTTCTGCCCTTAGAGAAGGGCTGGGCGATGTGGCCAAAAAATCATATCTCGGTATTTTTTGACTGAAATGCGATATACGGTGTGTGTAATATATACTGTATATATATAGGTATTTTATACAATTTATATTTGGATAATTATTTATTTATACAGCCTGCCCAATGTTGTCCAATGAAACAATGTTTATATTAAAGGCAATGAAAACAAATATAGTGAAAGTAGGCTATACTATCTATTATGTGCAAAAAGGGGCTAAATTCACATTACATACTAACATTGCAACATTACAAACTAAAAGCTTTTTAAAACAGAAGTTCAATTCACTAAACTAAAAATGAAAGTAAATAAACACGAACACAGATTAGTTGCATTATATTTTGATTACCCCATTACTGTTATCTGCTATCATAAAATACACTTGTAGTTTTAAAATTCTACATATGAGAATTATTGCGCTCTTATTCTATTGCTCTCCGTCTATTTGGTGCTCGTTCAATGAAGTCTTAGAGGCTTTAAATAACTTAATAATAAAAACTTTTGTATGAAGGCCCATTTCCTATGGAGATAGAATTGTTGCATAATTCCAAATAAATAGATTATGATCCACAAATAAATGTAAAGAGATGAACAAAAATCAAACACTGACAAGTGAATAGAATGAGATCCACAAATAAATGTTAGAGTTTCACAAACATTAATTAAAATCACAGATAAATAAAATGAGATTTGCAAATAAAAAACATATTCACAAATATCTTTATATGTCACGAACACAACTTTGCCTGGCATTAATTTGTGGATCGTGTCCTGTGCATTTGTGAATTGCTTTCTGTGCATGGATCTCTGCGAGCATTTCTGGATTTTGAAACATTTCTGGTGTCAAGACACTGACAATACACAAATGCGTTGAGTCCACCCACCGTCTGCTCAAGCCAATCAGACAACAGCCACACTTCGCTGACCAATCGTAGCACGTCTCAGGGCGGTCTCATCCTGAAATAACTTCATTCATCTGCATTGGCTCAAATAGGAAATATAAGGGCCATACAAATTGGTATATTAAATTATGTTTAAAATTGGATTTTGTTAGACCATTAGACTGTGTATCAAGCCAAGCCACAGTATTATATTTTACATGAATCTGAAAATGCCAGAGAAACAGTGCTTTAAATGCTGGATACAAAGGCGTTATGGAAGCGTCATGATATTCAAGATGGAAAGAAAAGCTTCAATAAGTAACTGACTAATAAATAACTGGATTCGAGTTGTTTCGAAACATGCGAGTTTGTGTAATAGGTTTTTCAGTCAAGCCGTTTAACTGATGTATATGAGCGGCTATGTGGATCTAACGATGTATAAAGCATTCTAAATAATATCTTCAAACATTAATTAAAAATATTACAAAGTTATTGCCATTGTTTGGGGAGGAAAAAATAAACCTGGGTTATTTTTTTTAAATGTGGAGCAGGTGTGTTGAAAATAAATGCATATAAATGTAAGACGAGATATTTATTGGTTAAAACACTTGATCACGCAAACAATATTTCATATGAATCAGACTTACTAGTTTTGATGGTAAAAGTTACTTAACTATATCCAAAGTAAATGCACGGTGCCCATTGATATTATACGTGTTATTATGCCCTATATTTGTCACCGCGATTGTGCATTAAAAGGCCGAATAAGCCATTGTGTCATGTCTACTCTGCTTGTTGTTGTGCTGCGCTGCAACAGCTGTAACTGCAACTGGACACATCAAAGCTAATGTGTGAATCATTTGTCCTCCATCGTGTTGTGCCTCTAGAACATGCTACGATAGGTCAGCGAAATTTGGCTGTTGTCTGATTGGCTTGAGTAGACGGTGGGTGGCACAGAAAGCCATTAACTAATATATGGGGAGCGATCTACAAATGCATGCAGTAATCTACAAATGCACAGGAATAAACACAAATGAATGCCAGGCAAAGTTGTGTTTGTGACATAAAAAGATATTTGTGAATGTTTTTTATTTGCAAATCTCATTTTATTTATTTGTGAATTTAATTCATATTTGTGAAACTCTAAGATTTATTTGTGGATCTCATTCTATTTATTTGTCAATATGTTTAATTTTTGTTAGTCTTACATTTATTTGTGGATCATAATCTATTTATTTGGAATAATGCAACAATTCCACATAAAAAACACAATAATAATGCTTTGGTAAATCATAATTATTACATAAATTACATCAATTATTACATTAATTAAAAATGTATTAATTAAAAAAATATATATATTAATAATGAAATTGATGAATGAAATTAAAGCAATCATGAGTCATAAAAATTCTACTTTTTGTCACAATTGTTTTTGTAATACATAATTATTATATCATAATTATGATTTGTTGTAATTATGACTTTTTTTCTCAAACCATTTTGTCACAATTATGACTTTGGAAAATCATAATTATGACTAAGTTAAAAAAAATCTTTTTAAAAAATCTTTTTGACTTTTTCCTTATAATTTCAATGTTTTATCTCATAATTCCATCCATCCATTCTCCAAACCGCTTGTCCTCTCTAGGGTTGTTGGAGCCTATCCCAGTCTCAGGCCGCTGGCGGGGAAAAAACCCTGGACACATGGCCAGTTTATCTCATAATTTCAACTCTTTATCTCATACGTATGCCTTTTTATTGCATAATTTCGATTTGTTAATTATGACTTAAAGGCACAATATGTAAGATTTTTTTATTAAAATATCCAAAAACCACTAGAACAGTGTTATATATTCAATATATACAAACAGAACCAAAACACAAAATAAAGTCCAGGCCTGGTCCTCTCTGAGTGGCGCTGGTGTCACGCATTAGCATTTACTCCACCGGCCTCGCTCAAGTTCCCACGGCTCTTGGCCGTGAACATGAGGCAGTATGTTACCTCAAACAGTTTTTTACTATAGGCTTTTGATATTAAATTAATTGGACCATGTTGAAGGGCCCATCGCCAACTACATCTGTTTTTAATTTTTTTTTTTTTTATCCATATTTGTTATGTACTGTATGTTTTAGGTTTTAAATTTATAAAGTGAATGGACTATATGTAATGTTTGCACTTTATTGTGTTGTTCTGGCCAGTGGTCTTAGACTTACACTGACACCTAGTGGTGTGGAGGTAGCATCGGGTTTTTAGTTTTCAGCTGATTGCATTAAGCTAATAATGGTTAACTCTAATGGTGTTAATAATAATTTCATAGAAAGGTGATGCATACTACCAAGAGAGCTGCTTGAGATGACACAGCTGCATTTTAATATAATCATCTAAGTCCAAAAATACATGATTAACATGCAAATAATTCTAAGAGGCTTGGAGAGTTTAAGGGTTTTGCTTCAAGTACCTTCATAAAATCTACAGGCGCATTTAAGAACATTCAACATTAACCACGATGCCTACTTAAGACCATAAAGGTATTTCATGAAGAAAGGCTACAGGGCTCTAATGATGAATAATGCCATGAATAATGAATAATTCTTCATTAAATTAAATTATAAATAATTTCTAGACCTTTTTATTTAGTTTGAACATGAACTGAAGGGAACATTTAGTCTAATCCACACAGAATTCACTGAGGTGACCTTATTAAAAGAGAGAAATAGGAGGTTGCAGAGAGTTTATGATGATGTGAAGCTGCAGTAATATAAAAATAACCTGCTCATTGTGAAGAGAAACAAGAAGACTGTCTGCCAAATGTAGTCTGCCAGAGATCTAAAAGTTTTGTCAGTGTCAATGCAAATAGCACCTGCATATTAAATCTGTCTCTCTTAGGAAATAAAGGACAAGCCACATCACAACCACAGAGTCCAAATGTTTCCTAGATCATTTATTAGCCCAAAATTAGAGTTCACATTGACACTGACTGCTGCAAAATGTTAATGGTTGTGTTGTGTTTTCAGGACTGGGCAAAAGAGGAGTGGAGTGGAGGCTGTCCTGTGAATGTAATGACCCCTGGGATGCTAACATATTACCACCCGAGTCTTCGAAAGCCCTTCGGCAGGTAAACCAGTCCACTACACTGGCCAAATCCCTTCATGTTCAACAAAGCCTATTTCAAAGCCCCAATGCCTCATTTCACCACATTCTCTGTCCTTCAAGCAATAGTTCACAAAAATGAAAATTGTGTCATTATGTACTTACCCTCACATTGTTACAAACCCAGTGGTATTTTTCCATGGAACACAAAAGGAGTTTTCTTTTTCCCAATACAACGGCAGCTCACAGAGTGACCATAGCTGTCAAGCTTCAAAAAAGCACCATTGAAGTAGTCCATTCGACTCCAAGCCTGTATTAAAGCTCAAATGCCTTCTGAAGACTTTGAATACAGAACACGAGTGATATAGATTACTTCTACGTCTTGGAGTGAAAAAATCCAGTTCTCTTTGTGCAATAAAAGTGGCTCACATCTCATTTTAGTTCATTTTAGTTGTGATCAGGTCTTAGTCCACTATCCATTTTTGTGGTGCCTAGACCACTAAATAGTAATAATAATATGTACAGTAGTCCAGGCACCAAATAAATTTTAATAATTATTATATGAATTGTTATATAAATTGTAATAACTACTATTAGAATATATACTACTACTAATAATAATATTATTTATTAATCACTGTTACTAATAACAACAACAACAAAAGTCCAAGCAACATAATTAATTGTAATAATATATTTAATACTAATATCTATGACTTGCTGTTAATAATAATAACAGTGTCCTGACAACAAAACAAATTGTAATACTTATACAATAATAATAATAGTTTTTATTATTATTATTATTGCACTTTTTTGTCAGACATATGAACGGACATTGTATGGGAAAGAGGAGTGTTAAAATTATTAATTTACTTTTTGAAAAAAAAAAAAGATACATGTTTGGAATTACATGAGTAAATTGACAGTGTTATTTTTTGGGTGAACTATTGCTTTCATCACAGATCTCCTGGACTTTAGCGTACATTACCTGCAGATAAAGATAAACGTGAGAGAAGTACATAATGCCCATTTTACCTCAAAGTGCAAATGCTATCCGAATGCATGACTAGATGTCAAAAGGACAGCGCTCTCAGGGGAAAACATCTAAAAAGCTATTTGAAATGGCCCGGTTAAGCGATTGACAGGGCTGAACTAATGCTCACCCAAGGAGAACATACAGAAAGAGCGTGCAAGAGAGAAAGCGAGAGCGTGCTGTGGCTGGAGTGGAGGGGAAATTTCCATAATAGAATTAAATCCAACCTGGTGCCATTTTGGAGAATATCCACTGTCAGCTGCGTCACGTGGATACGTTGTTTTCGTTCAAATCAAAGCATAAAGAACATAGAAAACGTATCCGTGTGACGCAGCTGACACAGAATAGCATACGCTGTTTACGTTAAGTGGATATTCTCCAAAATGGCACCAGGGTGATGCGGAAGAGATGAATTGTTGAATAAAGTCGTTATTTTTGTTTTCTTTGCGTACAAAAAGTATTCTCGTAGCTTCGTATAATTACGGTTGAACCCCTGATGTCACATGGATTATTTTACAGATCTCCTTGCTACGTTTCTGGACCTTGATCGTGGTAATTATATTGCTGTCTATGGGAGGGTCAGAGAGCTGTCAGAATTCATCAAAAATATCTTAATTTGTGTTCCGAAGATGAACGGAGGTCTTACGGGTTTAGAACAACATGAGGGTGAGTAATTAATGACAGAATTGTCATTTCTGGGTGAACTAACCCTTTAAGTCAAAAGTACAAAGGCAGCGCTTTGATATACTGCACTGAAGTTAGGCTAGATAACATATACCATATTGAGATTTTGCTCTCAGCTAAAACTATTTACTCTGGAACGAATAATGAATTCATGAGACTAAAGACTGTGCATTAGATTTACCCAAAACAAATTATATATCATGTTTAACCACTATAGAGACATCAGAACCAGCAGCAAATTCCAGAAGATCTGGCCGAGGTGAGGCTGCTCTCGGCGGGTTCATGAGCGCTGAACGGCCGCTGGCGCCCTGGAGCTCACATCTCCGAAAATGTCAAAGCAAATTTTCAAATAGACGTTATCTTTATTAACAAACTGCATATTTGAAGTCTAAACAACTACATTCTCGCCTAAAAAAACTCTTAAAACTACATTCCGTGACACAAAAAATTATAAAATTATAGTGGATTTGGGCATCTGCCATGACACTCGCTGTGAGAAATACCACAAACGTAGTGAAACTGTTGGAGCTCTGTTATCAATAGAATATTGCACTCCTCTCAACCAATCAGATTCGAGGACCAGAAAAACTGATTAAAAATTAAAGCTGTATTACACTTTTATTTCTTGATGCTTAAAACCCCCTTATATATACAGTATGTATGTATGTATATATATATATATATATATATATATGGGTCATAGACGAAAAAATAAAAATGTAATACAGCTTTCATTTTTTTCCTCCATACATGTGTCCTGTTTAATTTGATGTTTTTCTGAGGAAAAAATAATGACTTATGATCTTATACTTTTTTTTTTTTTTTTTACCATAATTTACAGAAGACACCCACTAAAATGTCATTCAGTGTAACAATATTTATATACCAAAAAATCTTGTTAGGCATATTTTAAACAAGAATCATTTGATGACAAATTAAAAGACTTTATATAAGGATCACACTGCAGCCCTCAAATACCAATTAACTTTCATTTTTAAATCTTTATACTTTGCTAATGTCCTTCAAACACTAGGTTTTACCCATTTGTTTTTGTAGGGAAGTGAAAGTCATTTTAAATATAATAACATTAAGTATGATCACATACTCTTATTTAAGTACAGGTCAGAATAAATATATTGTTTCATAAATATGTCCATTACGCTGAATGACCATGATTTGTTACTCTGAATGACGTTTTGCCACGAGGGAAATAATATTGTCATTGTTCCCATAATTGCAATGTTTTAGTATTAGTCTGTGCCATTAAATTAGTTTTAAAAAATATTCCTGAGTAAATGACGGCAGAAGCAGATGTTGAAAAGTAATAAGCATTTTATATTACTGTACTGATGCTCTCTGCCATGCTCGCTTAGCTTGTCTCTTTGTTTCTGATTTGCTAAGCCTCAAAAATAGCTTCTTTACAGGTATATTTATGAATACTTTCTGTTTGCCAGCATACTGTAAATTACATTATCAGGATGAGTATTTTGGGTAGGGATGCGCCGATCCGATATTCATATCGGGTATCGGCTCCGATAGTGCCATTTTTCTCGGATCGGGTATCAGTCAGAGAGAATCGATCCAAATCCGATATTTATTTATTTTTATTTTTTTCGATTGTGCGATTTATTCTGTGTTACTTCTGAAGCCATACGATAGCTTAATGTGAGCTACATATGAATATTTAAGTCCTTACATTAAAGTTCACACAAACTCTTTTCTCTGCTGTGGCTGTCAGTCATTCGTTCAGCCTTTAAAGTTTAAACCCTGGTCGCATTCGGTTAACTTACAGCAGTCAGCTCGGTAAGGCTCTCTCCAAGATCATTCTGTGTTCCCATTATACTTGATTTGTAAATACATGTCTATGATTTTGCAAAAA